ATTACATCTCAGAAATGTACCCAGGAACTGCAAGACCTTCCACAGAGGAGACACACACAATAGTGTGAGCTAATGAGTCCAGGAATAAGATACATATCTGGTCCTTTTTACAGGCTTGGCATTTCCGAACAAGTACTTGAATGAACTTGAATACTTGCTTTTAAAACCACCTTTAAACAACAAAATATTTACATTTCATTATTAATCATAATTTTAAGTAATTAATAAATTTGGTTGTTCAAATGCAGCTTTTAGTAACTATCACTTGTAAAGTGTCATATATCACCATCATGGTTTTAGGTTTGTTTTAATTGTTTTTATTTATTTGATCAAGTTATTTGAATAGGCTAGTTCACCGTATTGTATCATGGAAAGCAGAACCAAGGGTGACATGCTGGCAAGCTGAGTTCAGTAATAGCTCAGATAACAGAGAGTGGAGTGAGCCTAGTGATACTTGAATAAGTGTCACTATACTTCTATATTTTAGATGATTTTACTGTTGTGACAATGGTCGTAATAGTCTTTCTATTGGCCTGACACTAGACTGGGTCATATCACATTAAACTTGACATGCTTACATAGTATAGTCTCTTGTTGCAAATGTTCTGATTCAAAGTGCTGAAACTTTAGACTTTTATGTGACCTGCTGTCATATATGTTAATGGTATCAGGAAATGTCTATATAAATTTTGTGCTGATGAGCGTAGCCTATTTATTCACTGTGCCAGGCTCGAGCAGCAATGACAGCAGACAGCAGCTACACAAATGCTGACCTTCAAGCACTGTGGAGAGCCGCCAGAGGCAGGTGTGAGGACAGTGGCCAAGCTCTGAGCACCGATGAGAGTTGCAAGAGATGGTGTAAAGATGGTGCTGGAGCCCCAAGCACCATAGAAAGCTGCGAGAGACAGAATGAGGACGATGCCTCAGCCTCAACCACTGACAAGAGGAACCGGCATGAGGACAGTGTCCAAACCCTGAGTACTGATGCGAGCCACAAGAGCCTCTTGCCTCCTCAGACCGGTTTGACAACGGCCATATGGCACTGGTGGCCATCCTGAAGAGTGGAGCAGATGAACAAAAAGAGCTGAAAAGCTCATGCTGGAAACAAGGTTTCTGAAAACTCTATGCTTTACTGCAAAGTAGCAGTTCTATATATATTTGAGATGGTTTTCTGATTGTGTAAATAAAAAAATTGTCTGAAAAAAATTGCTGAAACCACAGCCCTTGTCTCAAGCATCCTCCCCCACTCCTGGGAAAAGCCCTACCATGCTACATTCACATAATTCAGTTGCTGCTGAGAACTCTGAAAAAGTGAAACATCAGTAGGGTTGAGGCCAAAAACAAAAAGCTGTATTGAACAATTACTATCTACTCTCTATGACTTCAATTCAAAAACACTTTTCCAAATGGTGTTGACAAAAAAATGATCATTTCTGGATACCAAAATAGCAATTAGGCACAAATGGGCAAAACATAGCACTAAACTGATCTTGGCAGGCTGGGAAATAGAGGCTCTCAATGGAACTTGAAGAAAAGACTGTGGAACATTCTAAAGAGCAGTGTTAGATCCCCAAACCGTTGTATGTACAAAAAAGGCTGCACAAAAGCAACTATCATACAGATGGTAACACTAATCATCCAGAATGCCATAAAACTTTTCGTTGGCAAAGAACCATAACAAAGTCCTGCCAAAAATAGCGGGGTATAATTAATAACAATGGCCACTGTGACAATCAGAATAATATTCATCGCTCTTCTCTTTCATGTGGTTGGCCGCTCTCTGCTTGCCCCTCTCTCCTGGCCCCGGATGCTTCAGAGCCCGAAGGACGGCTAAACAGCAGAACAATTTAATGATGAGGAAGAGCAAGTACTGTGGCAGGACAACACAAATGAACATGAACAAGTTATTTGAGGATAAAATAAACAGGCAAAACACACCAAAGCCAGCCACTATCATCCACACAACAGCAGAACATGCCAGCCTGTATCTCAGAGGCTTGAACTTTAGGAAGGTGACAGGATGGACTACAGCCACATAACGCTCCACACAGATCAAACAGAGGAACAAAGGACGAGCAAAGATGGGTATTACTGAAATAAAATTCTGAAATTTAAAATATGCTAAAAATGGAACAACACTGAAGCTTATCAGACCACCTGAACAATAGAGGATCTCACAAACAGCAAGATTGAGACTGAAGAAGTCTGACACAAATCCAGTGCCTTTTCCGGTTAACATGAGCCACACTATATAACAATTGGCTGGTAGACCTAAGATGATATTGATGGCATTACTAGAAATATATACATAGTACATCCAAGCAGTGCTGTTTGTTAAAACGTTGAGATGATACTGTTCAGCTGTAGTGGAGAACTCATCAGTGAAATTCATCTCTTCTTCGTCTCCCTTTTGACCTCTCAAAGGAAATATTCAGTTACTATAGATGGTGGGACCAAAAACATTCCAGATATCCTAGGGAAGAACATGAAACCCACACTTTCACTGTGAAGCTGATTAACACCATTATATTTACAGAAATAGATGCCAAAAATGAGTACTTACCTGTTTTTCCACTCGTTATTAGCATTTAAATTATTCTTTCTAATAGGGTAATTTTTCACTGTTCAAGAAAATAACAGATATTGTTCATAACCAAATGCAAGTTCTGTTCCAGGGGCAGCTGAAGAAGATGAATGGTAGTTCACATGCCATGCATGTGTGTGTCTCTGTTTTCAAGTCTACATATATGTTTCCTGATTTTAATAACAAATGACGTATGGCGTCATGAATTACATGGTAACAGCATAGTACTGCTCAGGGTTAAGCATACAGCATTACGACAAGAATGAATGCATAACTTAATAGTTATATTTATCTTTATTAATGTAAATCATTATAAACATTGTCATTTTATATGAAATTACATGTTTTTAATATTCATTTATTTAGCTTAACAATCAAAATCTAGTTTCTACTTTTAAACCCCTTTCTGTAACTATTTTTAATTGCATCACACTGTTGTTTAGTTAGCTGCTCCTGTAGTTGAGAACAAATACATTTTTACCAAATTTGTTTGATATAATCATCAGACATTTCAGCTGATTATTTTTTTATTGTCTAATTTGGATGGGGTTATATTTATATGTAGATTTATATTTATGTATGTATCTGATGCTTACATGTAGTGGTGGGAAACTCATTCAGACAGTTCCTGGATGAATTATGTTTTCCCTGTAGTTACAATGCACATTTACACATTTACATTTTTACAATCAGCGTAAATAAAGAGTGTAACTATAGTTGACACACCCCGTATAGTTCAGAAACCCTGTAAATGTTATACAATGGCATAAGCTCAATACAAACCAGAGAAAAAAACAGTTTTTTTTTCAATTACACCAGTGCATGCTCTGCACTTCACCAGTCACATGCCCATATCTATAAACACTGCACAAACATAAATGTCAGTCATGGCGTCCTCTTATGTAATCCTATCCAGTATCCTGAGTGTTATGTCTTTTAAATATTATAATTTTGGATCGTACCTCTCTAAAACTGACTCACTAACTATACAGAGCGCAATCTGGCAAAGGAGTATTGACCATTCCAAGGTGGCTGTGCCATTGTCTGGCTGAACTAAATGTGGCATCTGTGTTTGTATATATGGGTATGCCCACATGCCCACTTTGTGTAAGTGAGATGTACCCTGCCATTCATCTTCCAGCATCTGTCTCATAACGCCTCACACAAGTAGGGAGGGGGCGCAGTACCACTTACTATCTACAAACTTAGACTAAAAAAGTTTGAGATTGGCTGATTCATCCCATTTTACTTCACTCTAATTCTTGAGTGTGTTACTTTTGAGGGGAGCTGTATTTTTTTCATTTTCTTAATTTACAAACTCAGTTTGAAAAAAGTTGTGACGAGAAACAGCAGTAATTTATAAATCTACTTTGACCTGTATTTGAAAAAAAAACAGCACAAAGACAAGATACTTAATGTTTTGATCAACTTAGCTGTTTTTTATAAATATTAATACATTCTGAAAATGATGCCAACAACACATTCTAAAAACGTTGGTGCTGTGGCAATTTAAGACTAGAAACATTGTGAAATGTTTTCGAAAATAAACAGGTGATACAGTCATGCCTAAAGTATAAAAGGAGCACACAGGCAAGGTGTAATGCTTTCTGAGCAAGGATGGGTCTTTTAGAATATATAGGGAAATAATGGACATTCTGTTCTGTGGGCCAAAGAAGAAAAAGATCTTCCAGATTGTTACCAGTATTAAAAAGCTGGCATCTGTCATGGTATAGGGATATTAGTACAGAAAGAGAAAGAAAAAGAAACTGAGATATTGCATGGACGTTGAATATGTATGATATGGCTGAATTTAAACAATGATAAATGATAAAATAATATATATTCATGATCAATGTCACACAACTTACATACATGTTCTATTTGTTTAAGTGCTTCAAAAAAGCACAAAGTTTCTCAATATTCACAATCTCCACACAGGTGAAATATTTTTTGACTGCAACTGTTTTTTTTTTATTCTCCACCTGTAGAGCTTTGCAGTTCTGGGTAAAACTGAGGTGAAATACGGGGCCTAGTGTCACTACTATTTTATTGCAAAGAGGATACAGAACTGAGGATACAAAGAACTGAGGATACAAAGAACTGAGGATACAAAGAACTGAGGATACAAAGAACTGAGGATACAAAGGATACCAAAACATTCACAAACTTTTCATTAAAAAATAGAAATTAAATTAAACTTAACCGCTACCACCTTGTCTGTAAACACTGAAATAAACACTTTCTGGGTGTTTACACTCATCCATTACATGCCAACAAACTCCTTCCTATGGCGACAACATTTTATGAAACCTCTTTTTCAATATTACCATTATACAGGAAGATTCACCTGAAAGAGGCCCTGAATATTCTGTAATAACTCTCTCCAGGACGAAGCAATCTGAATAAAACAACATGCAATGTGTTCCTCAGTATATGGAGCTTCGAACAAGCCAGGATGTCTCTGCATCGGAGCAATGAGGTAGGTGCCGGACAGCCATTGCAACATTTAACCTCCGTTTGCAACATCCAGGTGCATACCCCCGTACCCCTTCATGTGTCTGGCAGAAAACAGAGATCACTTCCAGCATAACATGTAATGCAAACAATTACACATGGTATGTAGCGTATTTTTTTGGTTCAGATTGCTTCATCCTAACGGGAGTTACAACAGAATATTCGGGGCCTCTTTCGAGTGAATCTCCCTGTAGTATTGCAGGAGAATACATTTCATCTACTACTGATAAGATAAAAAACAGAATTAAAAGAAAATCACAGAATGCGCTCTGTTGTCTTGAACTCTCCCAGCGATCTTGCTTAGTTTTGTCTCCTCAAAAAGAAAAAAAGGGTGCTGCATATTTTCATCTTCCATGCTTGTCCTGCTCTGAACAGCTTCTCTTTTGCAGCCAGTTTTGCAGGCATCTCTGTTCACACAATAGGAAACAAATGAAATTTGGACATATATCAAAATTATACTCCCAGAATCCAGATGTTTCTGACACATTTAGGTTTCGATATTTTTTTTTCTAATTTAAAATATTTAGAAAAAATGGATTCCACTAGTTGACATTTACCTCTAGATTTCTGTAATGTCTGAAGCTGCGACAGTGGATGTCCTTCACTTCCTCATCACCTACACTAAACTTCTTACACACTTTGCAAAAGAAGCTGGACTTTTGTTCAAGGAATTCGGTGCCTGTTCAGAAAAAAATTTTGATCAGTAGAAGAATCATGATAGAATTAAAATGAACATAACAGGACTTTGGATTTGTTTGCACCACAGTAAGCCCAAAAGTTAAACTGCAATAAACCTAAGGCCTTCACTTCATTAGAAAAGCACACCCATGTATTTTTTATAGATAATATAGACTTGGTTAGGGCTGTCATGGTGGCAAATTGCAATTTTTGGGTGTCAGTGGTGGTTGGGCTAGCATACATTCAAAACTTCAATATTAAATACTTTTTTTGCATTAGGCTAGCTTAGTTAAACTCTGAAGGGACAAGTGGCATTTTTTAGGTAAAACTGGTGAGCACTGGATACTATCAGGGGGGCACCAGATACTCAGTGGTGAGCACCAGATACTATATGGTGAGCACTGGACACTATGTGGTAAGCACCAGATACTATGTGTCGAGCACCAGGTACTATGTGGTGTGCATCAGATACTAAGTGGTGAGCACTAAATACTATGTAGTGAGCACCATACTCTCAGGTGCACAACAGATACCATCAGGTGAGCACCAGATACTATCAAATCAGCATCTGTATCTGCTGCTTACCACATAGTATCAGATGCTCACCATATCGTATCCGGTGCTCATAACATAGCATCCGGTGCTCACCTGATAGTATCGGGTGCTGACCTGATATTTACCTAAAACATACACCACACGTCCCTTCAGGGACTCTGTAATGACCTGTAACCATTTGTGTAAAATGGACATATTTACAAGAATTTAATCACAAGGATTTTAAGGATTCACATCAAGTACTATCATCTCACCTACAGGACATTCTGGGTTAAATGGCACAAGAGAGTATCCCTCAGGGAAATCAGGCCTGGTAATATTCCTCTTCTTCAGAAAAGGTCTTTGCTTTTTCCAAAAGACACTTCCTTCTGTGTATTAAGCCTAGAGCAAAAACAACAGAGACAAACAAAGGACAAATTCAGCTTGAGAACCTCTCTGAAACCTATATTTGGACTATTCTGTGTTTTGTGTGTTCTCCATTACTTGCTTATTAATATTCTATATGAACTTCTTACATATCTCTTTCATACCTGATCTGTCCACTCTACGATGTTCCACTGCAGTGTAATGACATTTTCAGAAATATTTTACATACCAAGAATTTACTTCCACACCAATGCTCTATCTCATGCCTTTTGTTCTGGAAATATAGTTAAATGCAAAAATTTGAACACCCCAATCAAATTATGTGTTGTGGAGTTTAATGAACTTAAAATAAATAAACGTAAATATGGCATTTTCTGCAAATATGCAGAGTTTAAATATTGAAAAAAGAAAAAAACATATACATATAATATATATATATATATTATATTTTTTTTTTTTTTTTTTTATTATAACATTTTAGCATTTTCACCCTAACCTTTGCATATGACTGAAGGCATTGCAGTTTACACTACTTTATCACCCTGACCTTTGATTCATTACAATATTTAAAATGTTAAATCACACATCTTTTTGGTTTAGCTGTTTAATGTGCTCAAAGATGAAAAGTATGCCTACTTGCCTGTTACATCATGTTGTTTAGTTTTCATTTGGATTTTGACCTGATTTTCAACCACAGCTGGTAAGTCACTGATATTAGATGAGGTCAACCGCACCTGTTTAAAAACGTCTGATGTTTATGGTCACATGGTAAAGGTCTAATGAGTTTTTATAAATATAGTTGCACAACATTTCCTGTCCCTAAGCACATGCTCACATTGTTCATGGTGCCATCTTGTTGTTTTTGGCCTCTTCTCCTTCCTTTCTTGTTTCTTCGACATTTGGCCCCCTCTTTTGTTTTGCCATAAGTTTGCTTCCCCTCCTCCCCCGAAAAAGGGAAGTGTTGAATCCCCTCTGTGCTTCTGATATCACCTGCCATCTTGGTGTCAGGTCTACGGTTTGGCTGTGTTGATGTGAAAGGTTCAGCAGGCAGAGGGATGACATCATTGACCTCATCAACTGAAACAAAGTCATGGATGTCTAAATCAAAGGGGACATCTTCAACGTCTTCCTAGGACAGGAAAAAATCATTTGTGTCATTTGTGCCACCAAATCAGTAAATTCAAAGGATAGACTTTCATTACAGCATTAGAGCATTTTCATTACAGAAACATTTTCCTCTCTTTATAAATGTACCTGCCTTTAGATACATGTACAATAGAAGAATACAAAAGATCTCTTTAAGTGAATGTGAAGTCACAACCTAAAACTCAACTATGAGAAAAATAAATAAAAATATAGCCGCAAGCGACAATGAGCGGGTTCAAGCACGCAACAGCAGTACGGGCCCTTCTGCAGGTTTAGCCCATTAGGCCTAAAAAGGCCTCAAGCTTCTGGTTTCGCCCATTAGGCCTAAAAAGGCCTCAAGCCTTTTATTATATTAGGCCTAAACAGGCCTCAAGCCTTTGTATAGTAAGTCTTTGTATAGTGAAATCTTTGAATGAATAAGCCAAAATAAAAGACAAGCAGTGCAATTTTTGACATAACATGTAATTAGAAAGTTGTTCATCGTAGGGGACTGAGTCACATGACACCAATTGTTTATATGTGGACCTTGTAATAACATTGTAATAGCATTTTAATTGATTTTTCAGTGTTTTTGAGTGCTAAGGCACACCCAAAGGCCAATCTGGACCAAACTTGGCATACTCTATTCGAATCTCAATATGTATAAATACTCAAAGTTTGAACATGATCTGACCAATGACTGGTGAGTTATAGCTAATCGAGCTAACAATGCCACGTATGCAGGAAATAATTGATTGATCCACATGACCCTGAGTAGAAAAGTGAAAATGTTTTTGATAATTATTTACGTAGAGAGGCCAAAGAATTGTTCTAGACCAATTTTGAAAAGATTGGATCAAAATCCAGAGACTAGTTCGAAAAGTAGGGTTTTGAAACATTTATCTATTACAAAAAAAGGATACAGATTTTTAATAAACATGTATAGGCAAAATTGTTTGTCACATGGTAATACAATAGGTTGTAGGCGAAAATTGTAATAATATTGTAATAACATGTAATAATGTGTCATTTTTTGAAATAGCGCCCCCCAGTGGTCAAATCTTTTGAAACTCGACAGGTTGTTAGAAAGTGGCTACATATAGACACCAGTCAAGTTTCGTCATGATTGGTCAATGGTAAGCCTGTCAAATGGCCTGCTGAATGCTTATTGGCCGATGGCGACCACAAATTTCGATGTATCCAAATGTCCTTCAATGCACACTTGTAGACTGGGGAGAGAATGCTGGATGCAAAGTTTCAGCTTGATCGGATGTTCAGAGGCAGAGAAAATGCCCTGTTTTTGTTGCTCCGCCCCCTAATTACTTATGCGCACAAAAATCGAATGGCTACCTCAGAATGGGCTACTGGCATGGCCTGTGAAGTTTGAAATTTTTTGGCTGAAGGATTCTTGAGTTAGAGATTTTTCAATTAATTCTGAATTATTTTGAATTTATCCAGAAGGGTTCATTTGCATATGGCAGCCATGCTGTACGGAAAACTTGAAATGTTTTTGATAATTATTGACCTTGAGGCTCTTCTGAATTTTTTGACACCAAATGAATGAGGATTGGGCAAAGATTGGAGGACTAGTACACAAAAGTAGGTTTCGCACATTTTGCAGTATTGCGAAAAATCTAAGTGGGCGGAGCTAAATAATCAAAATAGCCAAATTCGTCATGATTGGTCAATGGTAAGCCTGTCAAATGGCCTGCTGAATGCTTATTGGCCGATGGCGACCACAAATTTCGATGTATCCAAACGTCCTTAAATGCACACTTGTAGACTGGCGAGAGGATGCTGCATGCAAAGTTTCAGCTTGATCGGATGTTCAGACGCAGAGAAAATGCCCTGTTTTTGTTGCTCCGCCCCCTAATTACTTATGCACACAAAAATCGAATGGCTACCTCAGAATGGGCTACTGGCATGGCCTGTGAAGTTTGAAATTTTTTGGCTGAAGGATTCTTGAGTTAGAGATTTTTCAATTAATTCTGAATTATTTTGAATTTATCCAGAAGGGTTCATTTGCATATGGCAGCCATGTTGTATAGAAAACTTAAAATGTTTTTGATAATTATTGACCTTGAGGCTCTTCTGAATTTTTTGACACCAAATGAATGAGGATTGGGCAAAGATTGGAGGACTAGTACACAAAAGTAGGTTTCGCACATTTTGCAGTATTGCGAAAAATCTAAGTGGGCGGAGCTAAATAATCAAAATAGCCAAAAGGTTTATTTGGACCCATAGAACCAGGAAAAAAATATGGCTTGTCTGGCAAAAATCTGGTTTAGGAGATATAGACCCAAACGCGTTGGCCTTCACTGTAGCGCCCCCTTGTGGTCGACTGGGCTGATTTCTTGCGCCTGAGTAGCGGGAGGGACTACTACCTATTGACCAAGTTTGGTGTCTCTAGGACTGACGGTTTGGGCTGTGCGTTCCGTTTCAGGGCAGAAAAATAATAATAATAATAATAAGAAAAATCTTGACAATTTCAATACGGTTCAATGCATTGCATGCTTGAACCCTAATAAGAAAAATCTTGACAATTTCAATAGGGTTCAATGCATTGCATGCTTGAACCCTAATAAGAAAAATTCTCACAATTCCAATAGGGTTCAATGCATTGCATGCTTGAACCCTAATAAGAAAAATCTTGACAATTTCAATAGGGTTCAATGCATTGCATGCTTGAACCCTAATAAGAAAAATTCTCACAATTTCAATAGGGTTCAATGCATTGCATGCTTGAACCCTAATAATCTGAATAATCCCTAGACAACTAGGCATTATATTATATAGGCAATTACATGGAGTAAACGTTGAAACATACAGTCAAATCTAATAAAAAAGCTGGATTTTAGCTCAGTAATCATGTTTTTCAGTGCATGTATACTCTTACTCTGATTTCTTTCATTTTTCTCAGTCTGCGCATGTGTGAAAATAGCAAGCAGTATTTAACACAGTACCCACAAGATGGCAACAAAACACTTTTTGAGCGATGCTGAAACCAAATACATGCTTAACAAACTGAAGAATTAAAATATTCTTCATCTTCTAGATGATGTTGTGGAGGAGGGGGTGTGGTCTGATTTTCTGCAGTTATCAGATTCTGAAGTGCATGTAAACTCAGAGATTCTCAGCTGTTGAATGGTATTATTCACTTGCTGCAGTGACTGACAAGGCCTTTCCCCTGGCAGCTCTATAATAACAGTGAGGAACATACAACCCCATTTCCAACAATGCAGTGCAAAATGTAAATAAAAACAAAATGCAATGATATGCGAATCATTTAAACCCTATATTTCATTGGAAATAGTACAAAGACAACATATCAAATGTTGAAACTGAGAAATTTTATTGTTTTTTGAAAAATATTTGCCCATTTTGAATTTGATTCCAACAACACGTTCCAAAAAAGTTGGGACGGGGGCACCAAAAAAAAAGGCTGGTAAAGTTGTGTAATCCTAAAAAACACCTGGTGGATGCAAGGGACAAGGCCAAAAAACAGTATTTGCTGGCCATAATCTTCGGGCCCTCAGGCAGCACTGCATTAAAAACCGACATGATTTTGTAGTGGAAATCATTGCATGAGCTCAGAAACACTTCTGAAAACCACTGTCTTTGAAAACAGTTCATCGCTGCATCCACAAATACAAGTTAAAACTCTAAAACGCAAAGAAGAAACCATGTATAAACAGGATCCAGAAATGCTGCCACCTTCTCTGGGCCTGAGCTCATTTGACTGAGGTGAAGTGGAAAAGTGTCCTGTGGTCTGACAAATTAAAATTTGAAATTCTTTTTGGAAATCATGGACACTGTGTCCTCCGGGCTAAAGACCACTCGGCTTGTTATCAGTGCACAGTTCAAAAGCCAGTATACATGATGGTATAGGGGTGCATTAGTGCACATGGCATGGTTGACGTGCACATCTGTGAAGGCACCATTAATGCTGAATGATATATACATGTTTTGGCAACTTATGCTGCCATCCAGATGACGTCTTTTTTCAGGAAAGGCTGTGATTGTTTCAACAAGACAATGTCAAACCACATTCTGCATGTATTACAGCAGCATTGCTTTGTATTAAAAGAGTCCAGGTGCCAAACTGGTCTGCCTACAGTCCAGACCTGTCACCCACTGACACTTGGCGCATTATGAAATGAAAAATATGACAAAGGAAACCCTGAACTGATGAGCAGCTGAAATCCTATATCAAAAAAGTACAGGAAAATATTTTACTTTCAAAACTACTTTAAGCAATTGGTCTCCTCAGTTCCCAAACATTTACAGAGTGTTATTAAATGAAGAGGTGATGAAACACAGTGGTAAACATGCCCCGTCCCAACTATTTTGGAATGTGTTGTTGGCATCAAATTCAAAATGGGCATATATTTTTCTAAAAACAATAACATTTCTCAGCATTTTATATATTGTCTTTGTAATATTTTTCTTTACAAATATGGTTTACATGATTTGCATATCATTGCATCCTATTTTTATTTACATTCTGCACAGCGTCCCAACTTTTTTGGAAATGGGGTTGTAAATTTTAGAAATTTGAGTGCTAACAAATTGCCCCAAATCCAAGCAATTCTTTTTAGTGTAGTCATAAGGGATACAAAGATTGCAAATGTACCTTTGATGTTACTGAAGGATCTGAACCCCAGACAAAAGACAGTGTGCCCCTGTGTGCTGTGTAAGGTAGCTTTTTCAACTGTTTGTAAGCCACCTTTGCCACTTTAGATGTTATCATTTCAAATATGACCTGAAAAAAATACACAAGATAAGAAAGTACAATAAATAAAAAGAATATCAACACAAAACAGCGTCAAGAACAATGCTATTGAAGACATTTAGTACATTTAATTATGAATGCAGAATAAGGCCTTGCATTTAATAATATGCACTGACATAATTGGTTCCCAAATAAATTATATATTCTTCACATATTTGTGTTTCCTCTACTCCAATACACCTGACCTAGAACGTGAGGAGCTCATTCATGAATGTCATTGCTTTTAAGAAGATTCAACCTTACCATGTTGTTGAGAATCAAGGTATGATTCACTGCACCGTATCTCTGGACTAGTTGCTGCACTTGTGAGATTCCACTAACAGTGTCTGGCACATTACCAGCTGTCAGCAAGAGGTGCGGATCTGTAGCTTTTCCCTGAAAGATGAGTGATATAACAGTAAACAGTCATCATCACTACATGAAATCCAACTTTCTCTCATTCAGTTTTAATGTTCAAACACTTGAGGTAGGACAATACATGTCCACTTGATTTGGGCTTCCATGCTAATGAAAAAAATGTAAAGGCTGCTTTTCCACTTGGTGGAACATTTACCAACATCGCAATTCACAAGCGATTCATTTAGCAGAATTATGAAATTACTATGCAAGAGCATGCAGTGCATAACAATTACTGACATGACGAATTCTGATGGGATTAAAATCGCTTAGAAACACTGGTAAAAATTAACCCATCTCCCCATGTGAAACTAATCCCATCTGAATCACACTTACGGAACAGATCATAACTCTGCTGTCTCAGAAACAGAGACCATTATGTCAAAAATATTGACCTGATACTTACACCAGGATGTTCTGGACCCATAATGACTTGAAAAAGTGACACCTGCAACACAGGATGGCTGTATTCCCATCATTAGCATCAGTGAAATATACAGTTAAAAGCTATGAAGTACAGAAATCATGGCTTTCCTTCAGTGTCTTACTGGTTTATTGATGTCAACTGTATCAGGCAGAAGTTTCATGTCTAGTTGTTTCAAACCAATTGGGATAGCATTATAAGCCACCACCATCTTCTTAGCAGAGTGCTTATCAGGAAGCTCCACCAAAGCCTGAATAACATAACACAGTCGCTAGATTAGATTTACTGACTGATTGAATTTTGAAGTTAATATTTTTATCAGCATGTGTGTATGCACACTCATTTGTATGTATGGAACATTTCATATTTAAATGTTTCTATATTATTCTATATAAGCTATTTAGTTCATAGTTTACAGTATATATCTCAGGGGTTTTCAATTCTGAATAGTTTGATTTTCCTTGTCAAACACACCTGAATCAATTCAGTAGTAGCAGTATTGTGCAAAAGTCAGAGACCACTTTTAATTTAATTTCCGCTCAAAACAGCCACTGCATTTGGAGAAGCCTCAGCCACTAAATGTAACATCAAATTAAGTATTTGTGTCCACTTTTTGTCTTTATTTCCCTCTTTTCAAGAGACTTGCTAGCAGTTTTTCAAAGAAATCTGCAGGGATTTTTTTTCCCACACCTTCAACGTTCAGTCTTAGATGCTGGTTGAATTTTCCGCTTCTCATGTTCCAGGTAATCCCAAACACATTCATTGATACTGAAGTCTGGGATGGTCAGTACACTGTTCTGAGAACACCAGCAACTTTTTCTTTTTGTGTATTTTCTCCTCTTGACAGCTACACAGCCTTTCAGAACTGTAGCATTGAGCTGTCTTCTCACAGTGGAAGGATAGACAGAAAAATCTGTGGATTTTTTTCAGATATGAAGTAAGAGTGGAGTTTGATTTTTTCCTCTCTCTCAAAGATGAAAGCTTTAAGTGCTGTTTATCTGACTGGTGCAGTTTTGGTGGTCTACCAGGACTTGCATGGCTATAAAGAGTCCCTTTTTGTCTGTATCATTTAATAATGTTTTGAACGGCAATTTTGTAAATGCCTGTTTCTCCTTTGACTTTCCCCTTATCCTAGTGGATTATCTGATCTTCGCAAAAATATCTACTGAAAAATTAACTTTTATATAATGACTTTTTTGCCTGAAAGTCAAATAAATTAAGTGTGATCACTGAAATTTGCATAGGACTGTATTTACTAGCTTTAGTTAGTGTGTCTGAGATGGGAAATCACCAAGCTAGATCTGCAGGACTGGAGTTTAACACTCCTAGTTCAAATAGCCATAGAACGACACCATTAGAGAATTTAGAGACGACATGCATGCTTTCTTCCAATGTGGATCATTTTGAGCTACAGGCAGCACAGTATTGTTGAGCAGCTCCAAAGCAACAGTGATGAACACTTCCATTACCATGACTTGATAAAGTTACTGCTGCAAACCTTTCTCTGAGCAGCCGCAATGACAACTTTAGTTGGAACACCATGAGGAGCTGCCATCTGGATAAAGTCATCTTCAGAATCCATAGTTTCAGGAAATCCAGAGATAAGGACCAAAATCCCCTAGAGACATTATTGGTTGGAGTAGAAAAAAAGATGAAATGGACAAAAAGTCTGATTTTCTGTGTATTTGTTTCTGACAGTCTTGATTCTAGTGGGTGCATGAAAAGGATAAACTCTTTCTAAAGGTCTTACCAGCACATAAAATGTATTATTTTGTTCATTTGTATGTTGCGTATGTCCACCTCTATGGTTCTTTGTGCATGTCACTGACATTTACTTTTACATATTTAGTTACTAAAAGAAAATCTTAAAAAAATAATAATAATAAATAAAGAAAATTTGGACACACCTCTACAGATCCATGGATCCACGGACTCATATCATGATGTTTTACTCTGCAGTTCTCATCTGAGGCTAGTCCATTCCAGCTAAGCCAATACAAAGCATTTAGTTTTGAAGATAATGGATTGCAGTATTGAGAAACTCACATATTGTTGCTGTCCAAAAAAAAAAACCAATATATACCTTTTTCAAGTTAATTAACATTTTTGCCTTCTCCTGCAAAGTTACCATTTTGGAAATTATTCTTTAGTCAATATATTTTGTAAAATCCAGATACATAAGTAATTATCTCTCACACAAGTGATGGTCAGTTTACTGAGGCAGAAGTAAAAAAAAGAAAAAAATACCTCTTGCTGCTAGCTATGACCTGTAATATAAAAAAGAGCCATAGCTTAGGTTATGCAACATCACACTATAATGAACCTGAAGTATCATAATAAAAAACGCTGTGTTTATGCACTCACCCCAGATTTGGCTGGCTGAGGTTTAGTCCCCATGGAAAAACAAAGGTGATAATCATACAAAATGCAGGGGGTTTTCTGAAACCACTCACAGGCCAAGGAAACACTCACTGAAGACTTCAACTCAAAGACCATCGTGAGGCAATGAGTGCTCTGATCATCAGATACAGTCTGATCTGTGGCCTTACAACAATAAAAAAGAGGCTTATGATGTTTTTTTAGATTAGATTGTTATTATTCTTTACTCTTTTTCTTGATAAAATATTCTACAGACTAAATAAGATATGAATTTCAGTGATTAGTATTTATTTAATATATATGTGAAAATTGATGTTTACAGTGAATGTAATACATTTACATTTATTAACCATATACAGTCTAGAAACTCATCTGCTTATTTCAGACATGATAAACTGCTAGTAGTGTATTTAACTGAAATTAAATATCTTAGTATTCTAAAATTTTTAAAGAGAAGGTAAAACATATTAAGATGTTTATTTTCAGTGACAGGCAAACTAATCTGCTGACTAATATTGCTGAGCAAAAAAAAAAAATAGAACCAGAAGTGTGTTGCCATGTAATTCATAGAGTACTCTGCTATGGTCTAGTGGGACTTCATGATTGGCCAGAAATGAGTTCTCATGTTTCTCTCTGAGCCTGTTGGGAGCTTTGCTCTTGTTTCTATTTGAAACTGAATTTTTCAAATTGAATGACATTTTATGATTGAATTCTTGATAAATAAATGAATAAATTCTGAATAAATCTTCATCTGAATGAAGCAGTTCATCCTTAAAGGCCCCATATCTTACGACCCTCTGGGCCATCTGGTTTGTGTTGCAGGTGATATTGGGGGGCGGAGCTTGGACCAAATTGGCTACTGAGACACATTTGCGTGCAGGTGTTTGGTCTCGTTACAAGGCTGATGTGGACAGCTGGAGCCCTTTTTTGTCTCTTTCTTTTGCAGGTGGAAATCTCAGGCCATTTTGGGGATCCAGCAAGTTGGATTTAGTAGAGTGGGCTTGGATTACTAGTGATTGGCTCACCTCAGTAGTGCTATCTTTGTGGTTTGCAAAGCTTTTTGAAACAGCTTAATGTGAAAATTAAGAAAAGTTTTACTACAACTTCTCATCATCTCCCTCAGTTATTTGTTATAACCTCATACTTATTTTTTTCCTGAGGTCAACTCGTAATATTTTGGAAGGTTTATGTACCAAATACATTCATAAATAAATTTTTACCTGACCATTTTCCAAACTCTCTTTATCCCTTAGATTTAATCCTCTCAGATCCGCAATGTTGTATGCGACATCAACCGACATTGTAGATAAAAGAAAAAATATTTTGTGAATGCTGCATGCTGGAGACATACTTTCATTTTGACTGGAAAGGGTAGCATTGTTCCGGCAACAAGTCAGGAACACAGCCTCTACCTGGTCAACGAGTAAGGAACCTAGCCTCTGACTGGTCAACAGACTCACCCCAAGGCATCAGTAGATGGCTAACAGCCCAGCTAACAACAGCAATAACTATTTTCAACACAGAGTAATGGATAAATAATCACAGAAGACATTCAGCGTTGGATTTGTCATTATAGATTTATTTTCTACAGTCTCCAAAAAGACAGTGCAGTTCCAGGCTGGATTAAGCTTCTGAAAGGAATACGATCCACGTAACCCTCATTGAAACGACAAAGCACTACCCTTCCATTAAAAAATGAAACTAAGTCTGTCTGTAGCATGCAGTATTCCCAAGATGTGCATTCTTTTATGAACGACATCCATTGATGTTCTATACAACATTGTCCACTTGAGAGACTTAAACAGGCTGTTTTGGTTACTGTGCCTTTACATTTACTGTGTAAATGAACTCTACTTTGACTGGGTGTTCTGTATTGTTGTTTATTCAAAAAGCAGTCCAGGCTGAAACCTTATAACTTCAGTGTGAATAGTCAGAGCTAAATTGCTGTAGGTTGAATTGATGGGTATATGTGTTGGTTTCCGTGACATAACGGGCTGTTTTTGCAGCTTAGTTTCCTCATATGGACTGGGCACTGAACGGTTGAAACTTTGGCAATGTTTATATATGACATCCAAACTCTTTATTTCAAGAAAGTAAGGAAAATTCAGTTTTCTCTGACATGGGTCACTTTAATTAGTAAAAATCTGTGTTCTTATTGCACTGAATATTTAACACAGGCAAGAGGAACCTTACAAACATTGTGGTGTACTGCATAATGGACAAACCTGTGGAGTAAGATAACTATTTCACTATAAATGTCACTAAATTATGGTATGTGAAGTAATATCTTATAAATGAGAGTTTTGAGGTTGAGAGGTTTTATAACCTCATTTTTTTAACAGAACAATGAAACAAAAGGCATGAAGACAAGAATTTTCATTTCAGAACACAGTCACTTACTGACCTTTTCTTCTGGAAGTGCCAACGTTCGGAGCACTTTACTGAAAGGCTGCACTAGGTTGCGCACTTCTGAAGCTATGTGGGGCTGGTCTGGGACATTACTGACCACCAGCAGGTGCTCCCATGGTGTGAGTGAACCCTAAAGAATAGAATGACCCAATTGATTTCTATTACTGCACAGCTCATGTGCATCACCTAGGATACAGATGTAAAGTTCGAATATTTACTGATATGCCACTAAGTTAGCAGTAATACTTACTGTAGGGTCTGTTGGTGCAGTAAAGGCTTGAAATAATGACTCCTGTTATTAGTAAAAAAAAAAAAGGAAAGAGGATTGTGAGGAAATATTGATTTGATAGGACACTGCTTATCAACAACCAACAAGAACAGCATTTCAATATCTCAAAAGTGATCACTCACAGGTGAACTGAAGTCTACAGTTTGGGGCACTAGAGTCACGTCAAATTGCTTTAAATGCACTGGGACAACAGAGTAAACCTGTACAATGTTGAGGGCTGAAAGTTCATTTGAAAAGCACCACCAAAACCTGTAAAATGCACACAGAGACATTTTATTGAGAATATCATATACACTGTAAAAAGTAGATTGTCAGTTCAACCTACAGTACTGAGCAAAAGTTAGAGATCACCCTCTAAATGAGCTATTAAGTACAAGTGATTCATTATTCAGTCTCAGGAAAAAAGCAGGAAACACATACTTAACAAACAATTACAATTGGCCATCCCAGAGTCCAGAACTTAACATCACTGAATGTGTTTGGGATTACTTGGATTGTGAGAAGCACAGAATGCAACCAACTTCTATGACTTTGGATGTGTGGAAAAATATCCCTGCAGATTTCTTTGAAGAACTGAAAGCAAGTCTCTTTAAAAAACAGAAGCTGTAATAAGGGTAAAAAGTGGACACACTAAATACTGAACATTTTCATATTATATTTAGCTGTTGAGGCTTCGGTGTAATTTTCTGTTTTTCCTTTTTTCATCATTAACAGTTTTTATTGGCTTTTATCTTAGATTAATACAAAACCATATATTTGTATTTTTTCAACAACATGACATCTCTTACCCTCCCCCTTCCCACCCCAACTGTGTCGGTACTACATTCATGACCTGACTTAATCCAGCGCAGTACAAGGCTCTGTATTATAAAAATAAATAAATGAATGAGCAAGAAAACTCCAGTAAATGTTTCAGCATACAGATAACCATAGATACACAAGTCTTAGAAATAAATAAATACATAAAATAAAATTACAAAATAAATAAATAAAGTTTACAACAACAACAAAGGGGGTCACAACACAGTACTCATCTTTAAGAACTCTCTATAAATCTTAAATATTTGTCCCAGTTACGTCTGTACACTTCTAAACACATGAACAATTTAAATGATAGTTTTTCATATGCAACTACTTTGCCCATCTCAGAAACCCATTCTTGAAATGATGGAGGACCCGCTTCCTTCCACCTCCTAAGGATGACCTGCCTACCAAGCATTAATCTGGTGTGAATCCATGTCTTTAAATGCTTGTTCCTGGTTTCTAGCACCAAGGGATGTCCTAAGACAAACAATCTTGGGCAGAAGGGAATTTGACTACCTAGTACTTCACAAATAAAATCATGAAGCACCATCCAAAATGCCTGAAATCTAGGGCAACGTCACATAGCATGAATAAAGTCCCCTTCCTCAGACTTGCAGTGCCAGCACTCAGCTGTATCCTTTAAACCAAGCTTATGCAATCTGATAGGGAGTCCAGTAGACCCGATGCAGACGTTATCAGTAGGGGATCCGGCCATGAATGAAGCCCACCTGATCAGTATGTACTAAAGAAGTAATCATTCTGTCCAAATGGACTGCTAGAATTTTTGACAAAAATTTTATATCTAATGACATTAAAGAAATTAGACAGTAACTTTCGCACTCACAGGGGTCTTTATCTTTAAGAACAAGGGTATTCAGCGCTTGTGACAGAGTAGGAGGCCGTTCACCCCTCTCAAAAGCCTCTGTATACATGTCGAGCAAGAGTGGGGCTAGTTCTGAAGCAAAGGTTCCTGGTTCTGGTCCTGGAGATTTACCAGAAGGCAAGGCCCTAATAACTTCAATAATCTCTTCTACTGTTATGGGTGAATCCAGATCCTGTTTTTGCTCCTCTGTCAGTTTGGGCAGTCTGAATGGATCTATAAAACTAAATACCTCCTCCTCAGTAAAGACAGAAGTTGATCGATAAAGATCAACTTTAAAATCTTTAAAACTGTATTGATATCTGTTACTGCAGTTAACATAGTGTCTCCTGGAGATCTAATGGCAAGAATAATGCATGATAATTCCTTCTGTTTTATGTATCTAACGAGCAGTCTCCCTGCCTTATCCCCTGGCTTTGTCCTAAACAGAGAATTCTACTTGCTGGGATAATAAACTGTAATATTGATATTTTAAATGAGCCATTCTGTGAAACCTGACGTTTCAACTCTGTTTCGACCTTTTTAATTTTACTTTCCAAATAAAATTTTTTTTGCACTTTCAGCTTTTTAATATGTGAATATGCCAATTTCTGTTTTTCTGCTTTTTCCTTGACTCTAAAAAATGATTAACTTGTGCTCAGAAGCTGTTTTGGCTGGATATAAACTTTCCGCAGTAGTGTAAAAAATTGTAGTATCAAATAATTTAACTATCTTATTGAACTCTTTGAATGAAATAACGCAAAGCAAAATGAATAGGATAGATGAATAGTGCAATATTTCACATCAGTTCAAACCTTTTTACAGTGTCACAGTTATGACTGTTGTCCATAAATTTAGTTCAGTTTAAACTAAATTGAGCTTACATGTTCTGCAACTAATTCACGAGTAAATAAAATATGAAGTTATTATACCATCTTCCAATCCAGACCATTATCCATGTCAACTTCAGTTGCTATGAGAATCTTGATGGGCTGACCAAAAGGGGTCACCAGTTGGATCAGGTCATACTCAGAGTAATCAAAAGGAATTCCAGAGATACGAATTACACCTTTCTGTGAGACAGGAAAATAACCCAAATGATTTATTGTGAACAATACATATCCTTCTAAGGCTGACAATATGCAATAAATCTACTACAAAAATGTAATTAATGTAATTATGTAATTATGTATGATGTAATTACAACAATGGAACGTAAAGGGTAACAAGGCCTATTTCTTAGATGAAAATGTCAAAATCGTCTTTAAACCTCCTCAAAACACACTTTCTCTTTATTTTCTGTTCATATTTTGACAAAATTGTACATTGTATATACATTTTTAATAATCGTTTAAGAAAATCAACCATGATGCATAATTAATATAGATGGGTGGATACCACTTTTCCAATGTCAATTGTAAAACTCTGCTTTTCTAATATTGATATTGAAACTGTGAAATGGCTGATACTGATCCAATATTCTCTTATTGAAAACTACTAATCTTTAAAATGAGCTTTAAAATGGGGGCAGGAGGCCCCCAGTTCTGGAGATCAGAACTGTCCATCTAGATCCTCCTCAGAATGTATATTCCCTAATGTACTAGTGTATACATGACACATGTACATGACACAATTAATTTGGAAGCCAAACTCTTTAGTTATTACACATTACATGCGATTTAATTTATCTATGAATGTTTTTAACTATACTGTGCTGATGTCCATATGTTAGCAGTGAACAGGCATGTCACCATATCATTTACTGCCAGAAAATAAGAATAAGATTAGGTAAAAGAGAATCCAGATGACATTATTAAAGTACAAAGCAGTTACTGAGATTGACAATACTTTCATGGAATAACATGTTTTATTCGGCTCAAATACATACTTTTAATGACATAATGAAAAGCAGAGTTTTTGATTAGACATATGCAATATTTTACATCAATTTATGCTTTAATACACTTCAAAGTTACCTTTCCCTCGACTTCAGGTGTTGTTATTAAGTTTGGCTCGCCACTTAGAAAAAAGAAGGAAATCCAGATGGAACACCAACACAAAAGGTAAATAGAATTAAAAACAAGCATTTTCAGAATCATCAGTAGAGCTGAATATTGCTACACTGATACACTGAATTCAATTTTCACAGACACTACAAGGCTATTTAGCTTCTTGCGTATTTATTTAAGGCCAGATTTTGACTCACAGTGCCTTTTTACTGCTAAAATTAGTGTTTCCCAGCTCTGGTCTTGTGCCTGCACTACAGAGTTTTTGATTTCCCTGCTACTAGGATGTATCACTTTGGCTGAATAAAAAAAAGTTGGTGGGAGATGGCAAGGAAGTCCTTGGCGGCATGGACCCCTGTGGTGGAAACTGGCTCTTGGCACATGAAACGTAACCTTACTGGTGGGGAAGGAGCTGGAGCTTGTGCAGGAGGTTCAGAGGTATCAACTAGATATAGTTGGGCTCACCTTCACTCACAGTGTTGGCTCTGGGACTAAACTCCTTGAGGGGGTTTGTCCCTCTCCTACTCAGGAGTTGCACAGGGTGAGAGGCACTAGGCAGGTGTTGGGATACTCACAAGTCATCGGCTGGCTGCTGTGCAGTTGTAGTTTGTCCCAGTGGACAAGAGCGTCGCCTCAATGAAAATTAAAATTGCAGAGAGAAAAACTCTGACTGTTGTGTGTGCTTATGCACCAAACAACAGCTCAGAGTATTCGGCCTTCTTGGAGAGAGTGAGTGGGGTTCTGGAAAAGGTCCCGCCTACAGACTCTGTAGTCTTGGTGGGGGACTTCAATGCTCCTATTGGCAATGGTTGGAAAACCTGAATAGGGGATTGGGAAGAATGGCCTGCCTGATCTTAACTCAAATGGGGAATTATTATTGGAGTTCTGTGTCATAGATTGTCCATAACAAACACCAAGTTCAAACACTTGGTACCAGAGCTCACTGGGTCAACAGTCAGTGATTGACTTTGTTGTCATTTCATCTTGGGACCATATGTTCTGGGGTGAAGATAGGTGCTTAGCTGTCAACCAGTCACCATCTGGTAGTTAATTGGATCAGATCACAGGGAAGACTGAGAAGAGGCCCCTATTCAGAATGATTTTTGAGGAACTCCTAATCCCAAGAGACATGTCTCCCTCACAGGAGTCAGGGCCAGAGGCTCCTGGTGTGTCAGACTCCATTTCTCTGGTGGAGGTCACTAAAGTAGTTGGCAAGGTGGATAAGATTTGCCCAGAAATGCTTAAGGCTCTATATGTTGTGGGGCTGTCATGGCTGACACGTCTCTGCAATGTCACATGGGCCTCTGGAACTGTACCCTTGGACTGGCAGACAAGGATGGTGGTCGCTATTTTTAAGAAAGGGGACCGGGGAGTGTGTGCCATTTACCGGGGTATCACATTGCTCAACATCCCTGGGAACGTTTTTGCCAAGGTGCTCCTCGGATTGAGGATTAACAATGCAGATTCCGTCCTGGCTCTGGAACCATGGACCAAATTTTCACCCTCAGGCAGACTGTTGAGGGGACATGGGAGTTTGCCAACACAGTCTACATGTGTTTTGTGAACTTGGAGAAGGCTTACGAACATGTTCCCTGAGATTTCCTGTGAGAGGTCCTCCAGGATTATGGGGTGCCAGGGCCACTACTCTGGTCCATTTGGTCTCTGTGCTCCCAAGAGTTGTGTCCGTATACTCGGCATTAAGTCAAGCTCATTCAGTGTAAGTGTTGGACTCCACCGAGTTTGTGCCTTCTCTCCATTCCTGTTTGTGATATTCACGGACAGGGTGTCAAGGCATAGCCGAGGTCAGGAGGGTATTATGTATGGAGACCGGAGGGTGGTGTCTCTGCTGTTTGCAGATTATGTTGTCCTTTGTTTCCATTGTATGGGTGCCTCCAGGGGAAAAGGGGAAAGGACCTGGCCCAAGTGGAGGAGTTTAAGTATCTCGGGGTCTTGTTCACTGGAGATGGGAAGAGGGATCATGAGATTGGCCACAGGCTGAGACAGATGGCAGCAGTAATGTGGTCATAGTAACGGACTGTAGTGAAAAGGGAGCTGAGCCATAAAGCAAAGCTCTCTGTTTACCGGTTGGTCTGCATCCCAACCCAACAGAATCATCTGGGATTCTCTGCTTTCCCAACTGCTACCGTGACCCCATCTGGATTAAGCAGTTTAAGAAGATGATGATGGTAATGATGATGATGATGATGAAAAAAAAACACTTCTTTTTGTAAACATGCCTACTCACATCACACAGCAGTGCTGCAAAAATCTCTAGGAAGTGATTTTCTGGTTTAAGGACTATTAAAATCCCTTTCTGATCTTGTAATGTGAAGGTGGAAGAAAAAACTACAACCACTTTAGGACACTTGGGGGCAGAATGCATATGTTATCCAGATAGCTAAAATTACTGCTAGGAAGCCAAATACCTTACAATACAAATACCATACAACTGTGTTAACTGTCAATAACTGCTTGCAGCCTTTTGTGATAGTTGTGAATGAGTGCCAGAAAATGTCTACCTTTCCATCAGGACCATCGGTTGCTGCAACGCAATCTTTCCTTGGGGGCCATCTGTGTGCACAACTGGTTTCTGAGAGAATGGAGATGACGTTGAGGCAGAATTTTAGTTTCAGCTTATAGAAAAAGACACATGCATGTACCTATACAATAATGAGGGCCAAACCTGATGATAGGGTACCACAGTGATGACTTTGTTGCAGATGGTTAGATTTTGACATTTAGAAAGGGCTTCAGCATCCTCCTTTTTCAACATATGCAGAAAGGCCTAAAGACAAAATAACAAAAGAAGTAGATGTCTCCTTTTGTTATGACCTATAATTTTTGAGCTAGCCAGAGAAGATTAACAAATCGCATACTTAATTTAAACATATACACAAACAAACAGCAAAATTTCCACACCAACACTTGTGACTGCTTGTCTAGCTGTGGAAAAAACACAAGCTCCTTTATTACTCCAAAGGGTGCCAAACTTCGACAGACATCCTGGTACTTTGCTTCAGCAGGGATGCCCAACAGACCCAGATGAGCTTTATTTAGGCAGCTTTTTGAGGACTGGGGCATAACTGACACCCACGGTTCCTTTGTCTTTTTGATGATGTTCTTTGTCTTTTGCAGTACCTTAATGACAGACAGAGAAAGAACAGACAGAGGCTCTGTTAGATAACTCAACGAAAAAGAGTACCTAGATGATAAATGGTTCTGAAAGATTTCCAGCATCACAAACTTTAATCTGTTTTTGGAATGCCTTGTTATATCTTTGAAACTCACATTTTGTGCTGATGTTTGCTGGGGTGTATGTAAGGAAGTTGAAGAAGAAGCATGATGATCATCTTTTTTCAGTATTTTGAATGAGGGATATCTGCAGTGTGAGTGACTAACAGACAAACAGCCATTCCTTTCCTTAAAATTTCCCTCTTCTGCTTTAGGTCTGGAGATGGAACGTGTCCCTTCTTGGTGCTTTTTGAAGATTTATTTGAGCAAGATGATGATGGGAAAGAAAAGCACCACCATTCTGCTTGATGATGTCCACATGCACATTCTTCAGACTTTTCCTGACAGAAATTATTTGTACCTTTAAGCAAAACATCAACAAGTGTTTGGAGTCATGGGGTGCTCTCAACTAGTCAAATAAATGTGTCCTTTTCTAGTAAACTGTCCTTGGCCTAGTTTGAAAAAGTTCAAATCAAACAGCTCACATAGGAAACGTCTACGCACATAAGATTTTCACTCACTTTCCAGCTGTGTATATGTGATGTGACAATAAACGTGATTTGATTTGATTGAAGATTCATTGCAGAGGTTACAATTAGTATGTGATTAACTGTGAAGTCACAGGTAAGTCTAGTGATTTCTTACTTGAGAAATCTCTTGTTCTTTTTGAAGATCTGTATTCAGAAGAGGAGCCTCCATGTATAAGATCAGAAGGGCTGTATCTTTCAGAGTTGTCTGGGCTTTGTGAGCACCTCTTATGGCTAAGTGGTGGAGGGCTGGGAGACCAGGAGGGTGAGGGTGATATAGACTGTGATGGAGAATGGTGTTCATGCCATTCACTCTGACTTTTATCTCTGTATGCCCAAGACTGATTAGTCTTCTTTGAGCATGCTAAACCTCTTGGTGACTTCCTCCACTCAGACTTCCTTCTTGATTGACCATATTCAAAGACTTTTCCTGATGTATATCTTGAGGGTGCAGCAACAGAGGCAATTCTTGTAGGCTTGTGCTGGTGAACATACTGTATAATCGAGGAAAAAGTCTTAGATGTCAGTTGGGTATCTGGCTTGTGGCCAGGAATACTGCATTATGCCTGAATAATTGGAGATGAGTAGATCAGGCTTTGGCTGTGCCTACCTGGGTTGCAGGGGAGAGCATGGCAGAACTTGTCAGAGTGTGTGTTTTTTGGCTTTCTTGTTGGTGGTTGCAGCTGACTGTGGCAAGTGGTGCTTCATGAAAATCAGCCTGTACCTTTTTATCTTTGCCTAAACAAGAACCTAGTGTCTGCTCCTGCTCCTGAGGTGCACCCATCACCCCAGTACCATTCTGATGCTTGGTGTTAGCTGTCTCCAGCTTATCTGCAGATACTAAAGGGAAGATGCCTGTAGACATCTGTTGATAGATTGTGTCTGATGCAAGGTTACTGGGAGCATGTGAAGTCTTTGGCAGTGGGTATGAAGCAGCTCTTGGTGGCTGGCAGAGGGACAAAGGCGCTGCATTTTGTGACAGATATGTGTGTAAAATACTGGGGAGAAGGGGATTACAATAGCCACTGTGGTCACCAACAGCAATGTTATTTAACTGGTTTAGGACCAGTTGAGCTTCAAGCTGAGCTAGCCCCAAAAGGGCAGCCTGTGTTGGTGCAAACAGCTGAGGACAACTGAACAAAGCACTGTTTAAGTGTGGTGAAGGTGCCAACATGAAATTTATGCCAAAGGGAAGTGCAAAGCTGGGGAGAGAAGAATGAAACAGTAGGCATATTAGTTTTTGAAACAAGTTTGAGATTTGTTGTATTTTATGGCTAAAACAAATATTAAGCAATATTTAATTAATTTAATAATTAAACTGTTTAAAAACAGAAAAAAAAAAACATTCTCAGAACTAATAAATGTCCCACTTGTATGTACCCATACACTTTCAAGCACAAACAAATATTTGTATATCAAGCTAAATACTAGCTTGTCCCTTGTAGCATGCAGTTGGCCAAGTAGTGGTAATACAAAAAGCTTTACTAAACAGACGCACAGATAATAGAGAGGTATAGAGTAGAGTAAGTACCTTTGCTCCAGTGCATTCATTTGTTTTTATATTAGTTGTTAAATTTAATAATAAGTCTTTTGTTATCATGTGGTAGAAGAACTAGTAAATATATAAGTACTATATTGTGGTGGCTGCCACTTGCTCCCGTTCACAGACGGGGCTTTAGAGGCATGCCATGCAGAGCTGTGCAATGTGTTAGTTTAGAGTGAGTGTGCATTTACCGTAGAGTGAAGAGCTATGGCTAGTAGTGACCTTGCCTTCTATCTCTGGCTGTATCATGTGCTTTTTCTGCTGGTTTTAATAAATAGCACTTCTCGTAGCAGAAATCGTGATACTTCCCAGGTCTTCTTCTTCACCAAGATGCTACAATATATTTGTGTATTAAATACTAGGTATTGAAAGGTGTTGCTGGCATCACATTCAAATTGGGCATATATTTTTCAAAAACCAATAAAATATTCTCAGTTTTAACTTTTGATATGTTGCTTTTTGTACTATTTTCAATTGGGAAAAGGATTTAAATGATTGCACATCATTGCATTCTGTTTTTATTTACATTTTGCACAGTGTCCCAACATTTTTGGAAACAGGGTTATACCTGGAGTAACACAAAACCCACCACCATCACATCAGTTTCAACACATCAAAAAGTTATCTTTTAGCACTTGGCATCATGCATATGTAACATGATAATACCCAGTTAATGTTATTGGTTAGTTGGCTATCGTTAGTTAAATTGCAGATTCCTCTGGCTGACCTAGAATAGCAGGAGGCAATAGGCTGTCAAGGCTGTGATGTGAGTTTGCACAAAGAGCACTGCATCTTTTCCAGAACGGTTCCTGGTTTTTGTCTCTTCCTTGGAGTTACCACACTGATATCAGAAGTGGGATGAGTTAAGCTGTGGCAGGCAAGAAGAAGCAAAGACAGAGCCTCCAAAAATGGAAGACGAGGATGGACAGGAACATGGACAGAACATGATGCTATCATCACAGCCATTGCAAGCTAGAGTCATACACTTGGTCTAGGTGGATGTCAGCTTATGCATCCATGAACACTGCTTGCAGTGGGACTGTTTGGCGAAACATGATGGACTACAGCCTGAGAGAGAGCATGTTGAGGACTGTAAGTGGACCATCAGTGGGTACTTCTGGGTTGCCTAAAGGCTAAGATTTTAATGGCCCTATAGTGTGTACATGAAGTTGTTTGTGAACAGTAGCCACCGGAAGTTTCTGGGAGATTTTGCCCCTGTTGGGGTCACTTCAGGTGGAGACCCTGGACGAAACCAGAAAGGGAGGAAGGGAGCAATGGTAGGCCACCCGTTCATCTCCAGCACTTTGTGTTAGAGTAACAAGTAAAATGATTTGGGTTAACAATGCAATGGGATCACTTTGTCAGCTAACCCTATTTGGTGACTGCACTGAGCATGTTTTCAGATTTGGCTTATTTGCAAACCCATAACTGTTTGCTAAAGTATGGGAATAGCAAGGCACATTCTTTTGCGTTTGCTTTTTTGCACCAAAGACATTTGTGTTTGAGATCAAAAGATGAATATGACATGATAGATCATAATTTCACTTTGTATTTTAACCTACCCATTTTAAAATAAGCAAAAATATTGTAACATGTGACTGACATGTGTTTTTTGTTTCCCAGATGAGTCCTGTTAGATTGATTGTTTAAAAAATTAATAGCTCAGAATGTCTATTCTTGGTTTGTGCCCTGGGTTTCACCTGTGAAGGTTGCATTTGTTCTTAAAAAGGATAAAACAAGATGATCAGAGAGCTGTCTATAAGAGAATAGCAATCCATTTTGAAACTGAGAAAAGAGAGATAATTGATTATAGCCAATGTACAAGCACTGGTCATAACCAATACAACAATTTGGAATGTCCTGAAAAAGAAAGAAACCTCTGGTGTACTAACAACTACAAATCAAACAGGCTGATCAGGAAAAACAACAGCAGTTAAAGACAGAAACATTGTGAGAGCTGTGAAGAAAAACCCAAAAACAACAGTCAGTGACAACATCAACAACCTCCACAGGGCAGGAGTGAAAGTACCGCAGTCCACCATTTGAAGAAGACTTTAAAAGCATAAGTATAGTGGCCATACCACAAGATGCTCATGATCTGCTCATGATCCAAAATATAGAAGCTTATTGGTCAAACATGGTGGAGGTAGTGTCATGGCTTGTGCAAAAAAATGAATTAAGACATCTAGAGAAACATTCTGCCTGCCAACTTACAGAGAAATGCATCCAACCTAAGGCAATGACCCAAAACACATTGCCAACACACAAAACTTAACATAATGCTATTTGCACACCTGTGCAGATGTTAAATTTCAGCAAATATTCATATCATTCTGCACTTTTCTGTGTATAATAATTTTTATAGTCATTGCGCCTTCATATGCATAGGTATCTGCATATGTACAGATATTTACACTTCTCTTTAGCCCCACCTTGGTTCTTTATTATTCATTATTCTTTATTCTTTTTATTGTGTTTTTATTTTATTTTCCTTTAGCTAAATATTTGTTAACAATCTGTTTGCTTGTCTGGTCTGTTTAGTATATTACATCATACATGTGTGCACTCACCAAGACAAATTCCTTGTATGTGTAACATACTTTGTGAAATAAAGTGATTGTAATTCTGATTCTAGTTCTGATATCACCTTTTGATCTCAAACTCAAATGTCTTCAGTGTATAGCAAAAACAAGAGTTTGCCTTGCCATTCCACTACTTTCAGAGGAGACTTTACCTATGTCAGTGTGGTACTAACCACTGAATTTGGTGATGTCTGCTGAGGGAAGGTGCAACTCCTAAAAATGCATTTGTACTTGTGGAACAGCAACACACAGTGTTTCGCGTTATGTTTGCCTGTGTGTACACATGTAAATAAACTCTGTATTGACACTGTATGTAAAATATGCTGGCAAAAAAGACCTTTAGGTGAAGACAAATTCAAATAGTAGAAACATCATATCACATTTTAGAATGAAAAATTGAGTTCAGATATGTTGCATTTGCACCATTTGCCAGCACCAAATCGCAAGGTTTACCCGAACAGCTTGTGTTCTAAATCTCTTACTAAATGATCAGATGACACATCCGAGCTACATTTATGGTCTTAGTGAAGGCAGTGATAAAAAGGGAATTCTGGAGGAGGGGGAGTCTAATTCTCAATTACACACTCAAGTTAAATGGCAGACCATGAGCAGGACCCCTGACCTATGGAGCAAGAGTCAGGGTCCTGTGCTCTCAATTTAGGCCCAAATTTTTATTACACACTTTTATAACCTAAGAATAGCTCAACCAGTTTGCACTGAAGTCCCTGTAGTTACTGAATAATAAGCCTTAGTAGGCAATGTGCCAGGATTTTAAGGGGTTAACATGTTTTTGCAGTGGCCTTCCCTCTAAGTGAATAAGTGGACTCAAGCCATCCCCAAAAATGCCCTCCACAGCATAACAGAGCCACCAGACCCACTCACTGTAGAGGTCAAGCATTTGGTATTCCACCATTCTCTTGGTGTACGCTACACATGCACTTGTGGAGAACCTGGTAATAGATGAGCCTCAGGCTCAGCGCTGATGCACAAAATCCTTCTATTCTGATCTTGGATCTTATTGGATCTTAGTGCAACTTTTGATACCATTGATCGCAAGATTCTAATTCACCTTCTTGAATATTGGGTCGGCCTCTCAGGCACAGTTTTAGAATAGTTTTATTCATATTTAGTTAATAGACAGTTCATGGTTTCAATGAGAAATCACCAAAAAATGTATATTTCTTGTGGAGCCCCACAAGGTTCAGTTTTAGGACTTTGATTTTCTCTTTGTGCATGTTACCTCTAGGTGATGTCTTTAGGAAACACAACATCAATTTTCATAGTTATGCTGATGACACACAATTATACATTTCCATTTCTTCTGATAATCAAGAATCAAGACTGTAGACAGGCTTACCAGCTGTGTGTCTGAAATTTCTCACAAAATGTTCTACATTTTGTAAAAACTGAAATACTGATCCTCGGCACTAAGACTCAGTAAAAGCCGCTTTATCCTGCATGTAAACACAGTCACTAAAGTATCGCTAAAGTTCTGCCTTTTCTTTCTCAGAGCAATGCAGAGAAACTTGTTCATGCATTTGTTACAAGCAGAGTTGATTACTGTAACGCTCTTCTTACTGGACTCCCTAAGAAAACAATACATCCTCTACAATTCACACAAAATGTGGCAGCACACATCCTAACAGAAACAAAACAGAAAGGCTACCTGTATCTTTTAGGATAGATTTTAAAGTTCTGCTACTAGTTTTTAAAGCTCTGAATTACCTTAAAGCACAGCTTACATCAGAGTGTGTCTGTCTGTTTATGTTCCAGCATGAAATCTGCGGATACTGACCATCTGAAAATATCTTCTGTAAAATAGAAATGCGGGGAGACACTTTCAGGTATTATGCTTCTAAACTGTAGAACGTAATTTGACCTTTTATTAGACAGTCAAACTCAGTGCACCTCTTAAGAAACATCTAAACACATATCTCTTTAACTTAGCGTTTAATTAATACAATTTCTCTTGGTTTTTATCTTTTTAATTAGATCTGCATCAATTTCTAAAGCATTTTGAGCTGCCACCAGCATGAAAAATACTAAATAAATAAAGATTGTTATTATGATGATGATG